GACTTATCATCGGCTATTATAACATCAATCCCTAAACGGCTCCAATCCTATTGGATTATGATATTAATCAGACAAGCGCTTACCAATATCAAATGAATTATGTTCCTGTTTACCAAATTAAGCAAACGGTTAAGAATATGACGAATTAACGAATTAAGCAAACGATAACACGCAATTAAATTTAAGAACATGCATACAATCGAATTTAATCAATTCTATCCTATGAATAACTATTGAATTAAGAAAACAATTGCAATCAAATTAAGCAAATGACTTCATAGAAAAGGATTGATAGGAATCAGATTTAAATTGATATTATAATAACCTCAAAGTGTTGAAACCGTACACAGCAGGATTTGCCCGAAGGTATTAGTTTTCCATGAGTTCTTCTCAAACCTCTCTCTCAATTTTTTCCGTGAATAGTATATAATTAACAGTAAAACAAGGTTTCCCCTAAAAAGAAAAACAATGGATCCGGTTCAAAACCCAACTGGGTCGAAAATATAACCTATACCCAAAACATGACCCAAAACTAAAACAAATTCCTAATATTGTAACTTCAACCAATATTCTGGGAAAATGTGCTCCGAATCTGACTTCGACTCCAACACGAAAGTCGTAGCTCTCTCTCTTAGCTTTCCGGAAATTTTAAGAACGCCTCAAACGGATTCTCGGAAATCCAGTTATGATCGTTTCCGCGTAGACTATTAAAGCTGAAAAATAAAGTGCGAAAATCAAATTAAACTAAAAATAAAATAAGATATAAAAACATAATAAAACATAAGAATAATCAAAATAAAGTAAAGAAATTCCTAAGTAAAAATATAGGAGAATGTGCATAAAGATGCACTGATCAGTAATCATCGCATCGCATTTTTCTTACTATTTTCATATTTGCATATGTTTTAATCTTGCCATGTAATGATTCATTATTTGCACTATTAAACCTTCCGAAGGATTAGGTCCAGCAGTTTGACCGCCGAGTCAATAACCCTAAACCTTGACCATTTCAAAACCCTAATTTGCCTAGGCGACCGCCGTGGAAAAAAATACCCTTTACCCTAGCATTAGGTCAAGGAGTCGCCGTACTCCATTTTAGGGTTTCCCGCAGTGGAACATTTAGTTTACCCTAGTTTCAAATTCAACTTTTCAACTTAGAGATTGGAGTCGCCGCACTCCACATAAGCGCTTCCTTAAGAAATGCTTACTCCCCATTGAAACCTTGACCACAGTCAAGAAGTTTTTAACCTCCCTTTCGAGGGGAACTACGATTACTCTGATTTCATCCCCTACCTCGGATATGTAGGCACAAGATGCGAGTCTTGGCGAGTAAACTTAGGACTAACCCTTAGGTCTTTCTTTTCATCTTTAACCCTTAGCAATATACCCTCAAGAAAATAATAAAGCAAAATAGTAAACTTTAAGCAAAAGGTTCCTGTAGAGTACTACAGAAGTTTAGGGTGCTAATACCTTCCCTAAGCTTAACCAACCCCATACCTAGATCTCTCCCCGCATTATTTACGAAGGTTTTCCTTCTTTTGACCTTTTCCTTCGGATAAATCAAGGATCAGTTGTGAATCAAAGATTTGCAATTCAAATTAATTAATAATTTGATATTCTATTCTAACCGCAGCACCCAATAACTAACCAATAGCTAACTAGTAGGAAAAAACAAATCTAAAACCAACTTTTGAAATCAATTTCCATTAATTAAAAGATATTAAAGATTTGAGTCATAACAAAGATTTGAGTATTTTTTATTTATTTAATTATTTTGTATTCAATGCTATAAATGCTATTAAGTCAATTCAATAATGTTATAATTATCGACCCCATTTATACAAAAATCTTCAAATTTCAATCCTAAAACCAAAACCATATTAAAATGTATATTCTATCTCTAATAAAAAGTAGTTATATATATATATATATATATATATATATATATATATATATATATATATATATATATATATATATATATATATATATATATATATATATATATATATATATATATATATATATATATATATATATATATATATATATATATATATATATATATATATATATATATATATATATATATATATATATATATTGTTAATTGGTATAATAACTGTTAGCAAAATATATATTAAAAATAATTAATTAATTGTAAAAAGTTAATGTAAAAAATCTATATCATATTAAATTTTTTTTTTTAAAAATGAATAATAATTTTTTTTTATCTAATAGTTAGACATATGAACTAATAATGAAAATTATAATTTTATTTTAAATATACACTCAAAATTGTTAGAATTAATTTTTTTATATTTCAAGCCATCTAATTTCTAATTTGGTTTAACTCCTATTTTAAAAAGATTTATTAATGATATTTATATAAATATGCATTTTTTTTATTATTATTAATTGTTGACAAAATTTTATCCAATATTTTTTAAAATATTTATAAATAGAAATATTTGTTATTTGTTTTCTTTATACTTTATTTCGTTTAGAAGGAAGAAAGACCGAAGTCCAAAAATAAAAGATTACATAACACTTAATTTAGGAGTAAAGACAAGTGGATACTTAACAATTCGGGTTTTAAGATTCTTATACTAACTCAGGGTGTCAATGAGAACACGAAAGTGAGTGAGTTTATACATGAAGATCTGAAAATCTGGGAGAAGGAGGTTATTGAGAACAATTTCGATCATGAGGATGCATAACAAGTTATCAACAATCCTCCCTCTTTGGGTGATCATGAAGACAAGCTTCTTTGGCATTGTGAAGTGAATGGGGAGTACTCTGTGAAAACTGGTTAGTATCTTTGTTCGAATTTAAAGGTTGCTAGAGTCTCAGGTCCTTCTATTACTTCTTTTCAGTCCTTGTGGAAGGAAATATGGAAAGCAAATATTCATGCTAGAACTCGTAATTTTTTGTAGAGGTTGGCTAAAAATGTCATTTCCACCCGAGAAAACCTAGGAAAGAAAAGCATCCACATGGAGCAGGTGGAATCTTATCACCATCTGTTTTTGAATTATTATTTTTTTTGCTAAGCATGTTAATTTTTCTTGTGTTCTGAGTTACAAAGCATGTTCTCTTTAAATATGTTCCATCCGTGTTGTTGCATTACATACTAAGTGACATTGCATACTTGTGAGTTAAATGATTTTTGATGATGTTGTGACTTAAGTGATGTTTTGGTGATGATATAATGACGCTGTGAATGACTTCATGAAGTGACAGTGTGAATATATGTGTAATGTGTGACGATTATAGGAATTATTGATAATTGTTGATGTAACTACTATATATATTTTTTATATCTTTTGTAATGAATTGTGATTACTCACCCTGCCTGTTTGAATGTTTCCTTCACGTAGGTAATATGCAGGTGATCAAGATTAGCTCGTAGATGCGTGGAGACTTAGCTTTGGAGTTGTTTTACTCTATTTCCGTTAATAATTGAGGTGTCTTGCTCTGATGTGTAACATCGGGTGGAGAACGCTTGAGTCGAATATTATATTGTTTTGTTAGACTTATTTTAAGAGCTTTCTATACGATTAGATTTATTTGAAGATGTGACTTTTGATAATGACCAAAATACTTAAAGGTTTGATGAAGAAAAATAAATTACTTTGAGATTATGATTTTGCTGCGAAGTTTGAAATTATTATGTTAAATATTTTGAAAAACCGTGTTACGGAGCCGGATGTTTATTTAAGATGTTTTTATGACGATGTGATACCCTTGTTGGTACATTGTGTTGAATTATTTATTAATTTATTTATGAAATATTTGTGACTTTAGAAAGGTATTACCGGATACATCCCGAAAAATTCATGTGGTCGGTTTGTCCACATTCTGAAATATCAAGTTAAGTCGAGTTATGATAATTAAGTATTTTGATAACTTTTGTCTAGTATCGAGCAAATTGAATTCTCTGCTAGAAAATTACCTACTTTGAGTTTTACCGGTCAACATCGATAGAGCTATCATATTATATTCTTGCATGAAAACTAGGTGGCAACTTATTAAGTTTGTGACAATTTCTCTTTATGTTGGCAGATTTAACTCCTCTGATATCTCTAAAATTAAAAAAATTTCATGTATTTCTGACCAAAAAGAAATTGATAAAGTTGAGTTAAAACATGCTTTTTATAAAAGCAGCTTTGTTGTTGGTGGAAACTCTTAACTCCTAACGTCTAGAATATATGAATTCTTCTTTTCTTTAAACTAATTTTTTATTGTAATACTACTAGTCATTATATTTGATTAAAGTGTCTTGAACAATAACATCTAGTTATGTTTGCATGATGTGGATGAGCATTGAAATTAAAAAAAAGGTTGGGGAATGAGAGCAGAGAAAAGGAACATGTTGTAGAGTGAGAGTTGGGTGGTTCCACTGAGATGAAGAGATTTAGAAAGGAGATAGAGCTATAAACTGTTTATCCAAACAAGCCCAATGTGTCTGTGCTACTATGTAAGTTAGAAATTGGCAGAGAAACTATACAAAAGAGTGTAAACTGGAAATGAACTTTTTTTATCCAGGGTCAGTTAAAAGAATTAGAGAAGGATGTTACTAATATGATTTTTGTAATCAGTTTTGCATAATAAACCAATTATAACACAATTATTTTTCATCAGTTTTTGGGACTTCCTTGCTGAAAAATAGAAAAGATTCATTTGGGGTATGTAATTAGAACTATGTACGGTTAACTTGCGACAGGTTTTAATCAAGTAACAGCTCATGGTTAGTTTTAATCAGAGGTCAGCTTTTCATCTCAGTTTGGCCATAAACCAGAGTTTTAAAATGTTCATTTCTTATTCATTGAATAACCTTTCATTTGGATCTTGGCTAACTGAATTGCATTGTTTCATTTGATGAAAGTGGTCTGATATGGGCTATAAGCAAGTAATTACAAATTGCATTATCTCCAGCTGTTTTGACTAAAATTCTATTTACAAACTGCATTAAAACAAAAACTTATTAACAATTTTATGAGCTATAAGCAAACACGTCCACATCCACGAGGCATTTTCTTGGAGCTCAAGTCTTGAAGATCCATGGGATTGTAAAAATGGGGGGCTATCTCCAGCAACCAGTCTGGCTTTATCTCAGTGATTTGCCTCATATACTCCTTAGTTGTGAGTGCTAGCTCATGGTATAAAACCAATTTAGGAAGAATCTCTACCAGCCCCGAACTGGGATGTATGTGGACAGTCTGTTGACCTTTCACCAGTCGATAAGATCCATGCTTTTGTAGTCTTGCAGTGTGAGGGAAAAATCCAGACGCTATGGATTTCTTTATGGCATCTAAGTCATTAGAATTTGAAGTTAGCTCGATCTCAACCTTCTCCAATAAACCTGCAAGCTGGTCACGGATATCCCTAGCACGTTTCATGCTCCTTATCTGTATATAGTTCTCATAACACCATTGCTTTGAATAACTGGCCTCCTTCCATGAATTGTAGATCTTTAGATTCGCAATGTGATCACCAACATCTCCGGTGTGAAAATTCATTCTTGCATTGTCTGCGTGTACTTTTTTATCCTTTGGCCGGTAAAATATTGAGTTTCCGGTTGAGAGCATGGCAGCGATGGTTATGATCTCGTCAGAACATTTGAACTTTTCTGAAGCAACAATCATTTTTGACAACATAGGATCAAGTGGGAACTCAGCCATCCGTCTACCTACCTTAGTTAACTTGCCATGCTTGTTTGAAGCACCTAGATTATATAAAAGCTCCATGGCTTTGATGATGGAATCCACTGGCGGAGGATCCATAAATTCAAAATGCATCAACTTCTCACAATCGATACCGAGACTGTACATGGTTAACAGTACATTGGCGAGACTAGTCCGTTGTATTTCCGGAGGAGTGTTATCGTCCAACTCATTTTCAAAGGCAGAAGCAGTGTATAGCCTATAGCACTTACCTAGGCTTGTTCTTCCAGAACGACCGGCTCTTTGATTTGCAGCAGCTTTTGAGATTGGAGTTATCAGTAAAGACTCCATTCCAGTCTTTGGATTATAACTCTTCATCTTACAGAATCCTGGATCAATGACATACTTGATCCCATCAATTGTCAACGAGGTTTCTGCAATATTGGTTGCGAGCACAACCTTTCGAGCCCCTTTAGGTGTGGGTTCAAATATTTTAGCCTGTAATTCAGTTGGTAGGTTGGCATATATAGGGCATATAATTAGCTCGCCGATTTTAGCCTCGAAAGCTCTCATGCGATACTTCAAGATTTCTTCCACTGTTTCAATTTCCTCTTGACCGGTAAGGAATACCAATATATCTCCAGAAGGTTGAGTGGCATGGATTTGAAGCGTGGTGACTACGGCGGCATCCAAGTAATTGGCCTCTGGTGCTTGGGTGAAGTAGATTTCAACTGGATACCGCCTCCCAGGAATATTGAATTTCGGAGCATAATCAAAGAAAGTACTGAACTTATCTGCATCAAGAGTAGCGCTTGATATCAGCAACTTAAGATCAGGCCGAGCAAGTGCTAAATCCTTCAACAAGCCAAATAAAAGATCCGTCGAGAGCGTTCTTTCATGCGCCTCATCCACCATTATGACGCTGTAAGTTTCTAACTGAGGCTGAACAAGGAATTCCCTCAACAACATTCCATCTGTCATGTATTTAAGGACGGTCTTCTTGGAAGTGCAATCCTCAAATCGTATGGAATAACCAACTTCATGCCCTAGTTTAACACCCATTTCTTCGGAAACTCGGGCGGCAACACTCATAGCAGCAACACGGCGCGGCTGAGTACACGCAATCATCCTTCCATCCTTTGTATAACCAGCTTCATGGAGATATTGAGGAATTTGAGTAGTCTTTCCGGAACCAGTTTCACCGACAATGACAATGATCTGGTGATCACGAACACTTCGAAGTAATTCATCTCGGAAAGAATAGATAGGTAGGTTTTTTCTCTCTTGTTGAAGAGCCTCTAAAACTGAACTCTTAGCTCTAGATTTTTCCAATGCAATCTTTTGTTCGAAATCATCTCCATCCATCAGTGATGCTTTGATAAAACCAATTTGATCTTCAAACTCAAACTGGTAATTATCGTCATCATTAGTGCTTTTATTTTTGGATCCAAAACTAAATGTTGCTTTTTTGATTTGACTTTCTTCCCAAGGAACTTGTTTCTCAGAATTTGGATCAGTGTAACGTTGCATAGCCACAGAAAACCTCTTTTCTTGATTAATTCCAATTTGGTGGAGATCATCGTATGGTTCCGGCAATCTATATTCATCCTTACCGGCAGCATCTAACCCTACCTTGTTTGCAATTACTTCATAAATATACTTCTTGTGCTCAAAGTCACGATGTTCATATTCGGAAAGCTTGACACCTTCGAATAGATATTGTTCATCGAATATGTCATCTCTGAGTTGTTGTAATTTCTTTTCTTCTCGCTTTTCTAAATAACATTTTCGGGAAACTTTTCTGAGAGTTTCAATCTCTTCTCCTCTACTCCTCTTCATCATCGACGACTAATTAATCAAATTAACCAAATCGACGACTAATTAATCAAATTAACCAAAGGAAATAGGTTCACTTGCTTTTATAGAGGGAAAAACAAATCAAAAGCAAGGATTAGGGCTAATAGAAACAGTAATTAGAAAATAGGTTCACTTGCTTTTATATACTGAAAAACAAATCAAAAGCAGGAGAGAAACAAATCCGTGGGCCACGCGAAGAAACAAATCCGTGGGCCCGTCTCTTCGATTAGTATTGTTTAATTATTTAATTACTTTATTATTTAATTATTTTATTATTTGATTAGTATTGTTTAATTATTTTATTATTAATTATTTTATTTATTTGGTTTAATAATAGTAAAGGATATTATCTTCTGGGTTAGTTAATTAATTCTATTTTATTTAATAAATCTAAAAACAAAATTAAAAAAATTATTCTAATAAAATTTAATATAAATTAATAGCTTTTAAAATTTTTAGTAGATGTATTTTTTCTTTTGATAAAATCTTTGTTGAAACAATTTTTTTCCTTATTAAAACGTTTTCTTTATTAAAACACTAAAATGAACACATTTTCTTTTTCAAAACATTAATCTTAAAAGCAATTTTTTCTTTTTTTAAAACATTAATCTTAAAAGCAAATTTTTCTTGATTAAAACATAAAAATAAAAACAATTTTTAAGACAAAAATTAAAACAACTTTTTCAAAAACGTAAAACAACTTTTTTTATTAAAATGTAAATTTTTTTAAAATTTAAAATTCTTTTTTTAAGACAAAACTTAAGACTCTTTTTTATATAATTAAAATTAAAATGTCTTTTTATAATTTAAAATTAAGATTTTCTTTTCTTAAAAATTAAAATTCTTTTTTTTTTTATAATTTAGTACCTAACTCTTTAATAAAAATTCAAAATATAAATAATGTCTCACTTCCACGTTTCATTTTCGTCCGAACTTCAGTTAATCCGTTATTTCGTCCTTATTTTGCACTTTTCATGGTTGTAACTTACGTATTTTCGTATATTTTGTTATGGTTGTAATTACGCGAGGGTATATTTCCCTATATGTTTTTATGGTTGTAATTTACGCGGGTAATTGATTCGTTGTCGCGCGCGGATCAAAAACGAGTCTTTTTGTAAAAATTATAGTACAGCGACAGTAATTCAGAATATCGTTCTCAAGGATTCTTGTAGTGATTGACCAATAAAGTAACAGTTTATGGGGGTTTGAATTTTGATTAAGAGAAAAAATACTTAAAATAAGTGACTATAAAAAAAAAGTGATTATTAAAATAAGGTAAAACGGCTAATCCTACTGATTCGGATTCCGACTTATCATCGGCTATTATAACATCAATCCCTCAACGGCTCCAATCCTACTCGATTATGATATTAATCAGACAAGCGCTTACCAACATCAAATGAATTATGTTTCTGTTTACCGAATTAAGCAAACGGTTAAGAATATGACGAATTAACGAATTAAGCAAACGATAACACGCAATTAAATTTAAGAACATGCATACAATCGAATTTAATCAATTTTATCCTATGAACAACAATTGAATTAAGCAAACAATTGCAATCAAATTAAGCAAATGACTTCATAGAAAAGGATTGAAAGGAATCAAATTTAAATTGATATTATAATAACCTCAAAGTGTTGAAACCGTACACAGCAGAATTTGCCCGGAGGTATTAGTTTTCTATGAGTTCTTCTCAAACCTCTCTCCCCATTTTTTCCGTGAATAGTATATAATTAACAGTAAAACAATGTTTCCCCTAAAAAGAAAAACAATGGATCCGGTTCAAAACCCAACTGGGTCGAAAATATAACCCAGATCCAAAACTAAAACAAATTTTTAATATTGTAACTTCAACGAATATTCTGGGAAAATGTGCTCCGAATCTGACTTCGACTCTAACACGAAAGTCGTAGCTCTCTCTCTTAGCTTTCTGGCGATTTTCAAAACGCCTCAAACGGATTCCCGGAACTCCAGTTATGATCATTTCCGCGCAGACTGCTAAAGCTGAAAAATAAAGTGCGAAAATCAAATTAAACTAAAAATAAAATAAAATATAAAAACATAATAAAACATAAGAATAATCAAAATAAAGTAAAGAAATTCCTAAGTAAAAATATAGGAGAATGTGCATAAAGATGCACTGATCAGTAATCGTCGCATCGCACTTTTCTTACTATTTTCATATTTGCATATGTTTTAATTTTGCCATGTAATGATTCATTATTTGCACTATTAAATCTTCCGAAGGATTAGGTCCAGCAGTTTGATCGCCGAGTTAATAACCTTAAACCTTGACCATTTCAAAACCCTAATTTGCTTAGGCATCCCGCCGTAGATAAAAATACCCTTTACCCTAGCATTAGGTCAAGGAGTCGCCGTACTACATTTTAGGGTTTCCCGCCATGGAACATTTAGTTTACCCTAGTTTCAAATTCAACTTTTCAACGTAGAGATTGGATTCGCCGCACTTCACGTAAGCGCTTCCTTAAGAAATGCTTACTCCCCATTGAAACCTTGACCACAGTCAAGAAGTTTCTAACCTCCCTTTCGAGGGGAACTACGATTACTCTGATTTCATCCTCTACCTCGGTTACGTAGGCACAAGATGCGAGTCTTGGCGAGTAAACTTAGGACTAACCCTTAGGTCTTTCTTTTCATCTTTAACCCTTAGCAATATACCCTCAAGCAAATAATAAATCAAAATAGTAAACTTTAAGCAAAAGGTTCCTCTAGAGTACTACAGAAGTTTAGGGTGCTAATACCTTCCCTAAGCTTAACCAACCCCTTACCTAGATTTCTCCCCGCATTGTTTACGATGCAAAATTAGGTTTTCCTTCTTTTCACATTTTCCTCCGGATAAATCAAATACCAGTTGTGAATCAAAGATTTGCGATTCAAATTAATTAATAATTTGATATCCTATTCTAACCGCAACACCCAATAACTAACCAATAGCTAACTAGCAGGGAAAAACAAATCTAAAACCAACTTTTGAAATCAATTTCCATTAATTAAAATATATTAAAGAATTGAGTGATAACAAAGATTTGAGTATTTTTTATTTATTTAATTATTTTGTATTCAACGTTTTCAATGCTATTAACTCAATTCAATAATGTTATAATTATCGACCCCATTTATACAAAAATCAAATTGATTGTGCAATTCAAATTTCAATCCTAAAACCAAAACCATATTAAAATGTATACTCTCTCTCTAATAAAAATTATATATATATATATATATATATATATATATATATATATATATATATATATATATATATATATATATATATATATATATATATATATATATATATATATATATATATATATATATATATATATATATATATATATATATATATATTGTTAATTGGTATAATAACTGTTAGCAAAATATATAACAAAATTAATTAATTAATTGTAAAAAGTTAATGTAAAAAATCTATATTATATTAAAAAAAAAATTTAAATGAATAATAATTTTTTTCTTCTAATAGTTAGACATATGAACTAATAATGAAAATTATAATTTTATTTTAAATATACACTCAAAATTGTTAGAATTAATTTTTTTATATTTCAAGCCATCTAATTTTATGATTTGGTTTAACTCCTATTTTAAAAAGATTTATTAATGATATCATTATCTTTTTTTATTTTATATTAATTGTTGACAAAATTTTATCCAATATTTTTTAAAATATTTATAAATAGAAATATTTGTTATTTGTTTTCTTTATACTTTATTTTTTTTACAAGGAAGAAAGACCGAAGTCCAAAAATAAAAGATTACATAACACTTAATTTAGGAGTAAAGACAAGTGGATACTTAACAATTCGGGTTTCAAGATTCTTATACTAACTCAGGGTGTCAATGAGAACACGAAAGTGAGTGAGTTTATACATGAAGATCTGAAAATCTGGAAGAAGGAGGTTATTGAGAACAATTTCGATCTTGAGGATGCCTAACAAATTATCAACAATCCTCTCTCTTTGGGTGATCATGAAGACAAGCTTCTTTCGCATTGTGAAGTGAATGGGGAGTACTCTATGAAAACTGGTTACCATCTTTGTTTGAATTTAAAGGCTGCTAGAGTCTCAGGTCCTTCTGATACTGTTAGAACACAGATTGGTGTTTAATATATCTCATTGTTTTGATGATGACATAAATGAAATTTTTTATAAAGGAAATATATACTCTAATTGTGTTTAAGTAATTTTGTTTTAGATCTTAAATTATATATTCATCTGGAAGCAAAAATTACATCTGCAACTGAAAAGAACGTTAAGACTCTAAGCGTCAGAAGCAACATTTCAGAAGACTCTGAGCGCTGCCTGAAGAGACTCTGATCTGCTACATGTTGCACCCCAAAATTTGCCCTCTTTCAAGACTTGACTCATTTCTTCAAATTCAATGACATAAAGGAAATCCATCATGAATTCAAGATTAAAGGCGAGAATATTATAAAGTGAAGTTTTGTGACATTACAAGAATGTCATTTGTTGCAAGATTTTCAACTCTAAGTAATGTTTAGAAATTAATTTATTTCTAATACTTCATTCAAGTCCCTAGTCAAATTCATGTTATGGTAATGCCACACAAAGTCTACATTATGCTTACAAACATCCAAGAAATATGTAAGGATTAAATCAACATTGGATTGTTTTAAGACCAAGATTATGCATGTTAGTCATAAGCAAAATAGCCCCATGCAAAGGTGACAAATTTCCTCATGTCACAAAAGCTACATGTCACAAGACCAAAGGCACAACATGTGACAATGCTTCTACACATCAGAATTTTTAAAATGCTGTCAAAAGAGTGGTAGCATTGACCAAGAGCTGTCCAAGCACAAGCCAACAAAATGGGTGCAAGGCACAAGGTGCTGCAGAAAAACAGCATAGAGTAGTGCAGTAAAAATACAGCATAGCACCTTGCATGGAAATGGAAAGAAAGAGAGTGACATAAGGAA